ATGGCTGGTGTGTCCCCACTGCTAACAAGATATCTGGGATTTTCATTTATGCACTGGAAATGTTTAAGAATCAAAGATGAGTTGATGAAAAAAAAAATGTAATTACTGTTGTACTGATCTAATAAAATCTTCAAATACATACAAAGTATTTCTTGGATAAATCTCTTTCTTTTTTTTCTTCATGTACAACTCACTCATGCATGCACACATACACACACAAAAACACTCTTACACACACACACTCTCACACATGCAAAAGCACATGCAAATGCATACATGTATGTGCAGTTATAAATGATTATAGTATTACCCCTATTCTTGTTAATATTTGCCTAATCATTTTCTTGCCACAGTAAATTTAGGAGAGAATTAGATTAGCAAAATTTGCAGTATCATAGTTTGTTAACCCATTGCCACCGGGGAAAATTAACAAAAAATGGGGAAAATACTGTACTCATTTTTTATATTTTTGTGAAATATCATAGATGGCTCTGCTAGTCCTGATTTCACCTTTCCTTGAATTGGCGCAAAAAAACATATTCTTACTAGTGCTATAGATATAGATGGTGTTATTTTTAACAGCAAATTAGGATAACATTAAATATTTTTGTAAATCGATGAAAAGGGTGAACGGGCAAGACAGGCAGTACTCATAATTAGCTCATTAGTGACTTAGTACAAGTGTAGCCATCTATGTGTAAAAACAATCAAACAAGTCGACTCACAGTGGGCATGGCATGTACGTACATGCCATATCTGGCGGCAATGGGTTAATGTCTACTCTCAATGGCAATGTCTGTTACATACAGACTGAATAGGACCTAAAGCAACAATTGTTCATGTAAACTGTCAGGGAAGAAAACCAATACAATAAAAATCTGCATATCAAATACAGAATCATTTCTGAATATTTTGTTTCTCCTCTGGTTATCATATATCAACCAGTTTAGGACAATAATGTATTTCTGCAAATATATGATGCAGAATTCATAGGTAGGCATAATTCTGTTATAACTGACAAAGTTCAAATACAACAAAACCTGTCTTGCTTCACAAAAAATAGGCAGAAACATTCACTGAAGTTGAAGTGACAGGGGACTATAAGTGTCAACAAGAGATCCAAGGACACAATTTCATATTACTTATCTATTCACCGTGGTCCTGTACTGTCTTAAGGCACAGAGAATGAGTGACCACCAAGACTTATAACAATATATACTTTCTCACAATTTATTCCCACATAGACATTAACAAGAATGGCAAACCAAAAAATTATTTGAAGCAAAATCTGTTCTCACCTACTTACATTTTGCAGTGGGACTCAACCACTTAAGGTTAAAATATTATTAAAAACTTTACATTATAGTCAGTTTCATAAATAACATGGGGCAGTAGCTAATTTAAAACTTCAGGGGGAAAAAATTAGTATCATTATCTCTGATGAAGATATCACTTAAAAATGGCACCAACTTCTAATTTATCTTAACCCTGGGATGGCCATATCTACTGGGTTTTAGTTTATTGTGTTTAAACTAAGATGGTTCCACAAGTACCTAGTCACCAAGAAGTCAATTATTATTTCTACCTATCTCACCTGATATCTTTAATCTCTGGAAATATTCTTTTTCATTTCCTATTGCTATTAGTATTTTCATAACAATATAATAATCATAATGTCAATAACAATAACAACCGTATTAATTTTCATAGCATCAGATAAAAAAATAAAAAATAGCAAAAATTCAGGGAATGGGGAAATCAAGTGAAGTCACATTTGCTACTGATTACCACTCTGGTGGCTGCACACTTGTGGTACCATCTGTTTGCAATAAATTTCACAATGGACAGTACCCACATACTAAGAATTACTTAGGCAAACCAAACATACTTAGCCTAATGAGATATTCATTCACTTTTTAATTCTTCACAGGATAAACTTTACCTATAATGACATCAAAATGGCAAAGAACATGCCACACTTTTGGAAAAACAATTTCAGATACAATATATATTAAAAAAATCTAAGACACACATAATATTTCTCCAACACAAAATTTAGCTGCAAAACTAAGGCATCTACTTTCTTTTTCAAATCACTCTGGATTTTGTTTACCAGAGTATGATATTGCTGTCCCATACTGTCCAATGAAAAATTATTTATGGATACAAAGTAATTCTGTAAAATTAAGTATTCTTACCTTTGTGAAATAACTCATATCATCCTTTTCTATGGATTTACGAAACTTGACAAGGTCTTGTGACTTGGGGCCCCGAAAAGGACTTGGTCGCTCAGCATTTACATTGCCATCCAGACCATTTGTGTCCTGCGTTATGGCAACATCCGGTCCATTTTCAGCAAACTGGAGTGCTTCTTCATATGACCTAAAAGCTTTGAAGCGCGAACCACGGTACTTTTTCATCATGGCTAAGCAGGACATCTTGTCAGTATAAACCAACTGGAAGTCTGGAAATGACAAGTAAAACAGGTAATGATGAAACA